TTAAGAAGTCCATTCCCAGTATCATAGGTTTGCAGCACTCTGGTAGGATCAGAAATGTGGCTACAAAAGCTGCATTCTCAATTGTGAGTCTTGCTGTACATTTCCGGTGGGAGTCATTATCTGGCCTCCAGCATTTCGGATATATGGGCCCGTCCATTCCATCCTGACTTTCTTAAGTTCGTCTGCCAATCGTTCACTCATTATGGAGAAGTCTGCACCCGTATCGACTAAGGCTGTCACTTCAACGCCGTCGATCGTCACAGCGAGGTCGGCAGTCACAGTTTTCTCGGCGGAGTCTTTATCGTCATCTCTCACGTGTTTCGGCAGCAGTGGGGGATTTTCGGCAATTCGACGGCTTGCAACCTTCCCCCCAGAGGTCGCTGCTTTCAGTTTCCCCGCCGTGGGCTGGGAGACCGACCTCTGACGGCGTCGGCAAAACTACGGCTGCTTGGTGAACCAAAGCGAGCCGGGGATGGTGAGCGCGTCCGGAAGGTAGAAGAGCCTTCCCGCCTGCCAGCCTGGTCGTCGTCGATGTGGGCATGGCTTTCGTCAAACTGTCGGCGCGTAGCTGCAGGTGCACTACCGCGGTATTCAGCTCGGCGATGTGGGCAAAAACGGTAAATGTGCCCTGGCTCTCCACAACTGTAGCAGAGTGGTCGGCGATCCGCAGCGCGCCATATGTCGATCTTCCGCATATAGGGTCGCCTGACAGAATCCTGCTGAGCCCAGGCTGCCACAGGATACGGCTCGATGTACTGCGGTGCTGGCATGGGCGTGGGTCAACGAACAGCGTCTGCATAGCTGTATCCGTTCGGCTGGTAGGATACTTCTGGAGCCAATGGACGACGCACAGCGTCTGCATAGGTGCACGAGTTCGGACGGTGCGGTGGAGCGGAATACTGCTGAGGAGAGGCAAACGCTTGTCGAAGTTCATGGCGAACGACTTCAGCGACGGAGGCTACCGTGGACTCCTGCTGCGGGGGTGCCTGTGACTGCAATGTGTATTTTGCGTTCTCCTTCGCGATCTCCTCACGCACGATCTGTCTAATCAGGTGGCGTAGAGAAAACTCGTCGTTTGCGGTGAGTGCGGCGGCGCCTGCAGCTGCGCCGGTGGCCGGGCGATCAGACTGTCGGTACCGTTGCTGCAGCGCACGCTCTATTGCGGTGGCCTGCCTGGTGAACTCGTCCACTGTTGTCGGTGGATTGCGCACAAGACCAACAAATAGCTGCTCTTTGACGCCCCACATGAGATGGCTTAGCTTTCGAGCCTCGGGCATGTTGGGGTCCGCGCGGTGGCACAGACGCACCATATCCTCAGCAAACATGGCGACGCTTTCATGCAGCTGTTGGGTGCGTCCTTCAAGAAGGCGTTGTGCGTTTTCGCGTCGGTCCGTGTTACCGAAGGTGTCAAGAAACCGACGACAAAACTCCTGCCATGTCGTCAATGTTGCCTCCCGGTTTATAAACCACGTCTTCGCGCCGTCTTCAAGGGCGAAGTATACGTGGAAGAGCTTCCCCTCGAGGCTCCAGTAGTTAGATTTAGCTACCCGTTCAAACTGCTCAAGCCAGTCTTGCGCATTTTCGTTCGGCCGGCCGTGAAATGGTTCAGAAATGCGCATATTCTGAACCGTCACCTGTGCAGGACTCCTTGCCATTTCTTGAGTAGGGGTGGCTGTCGAAAGTGTTGCTCCCTTTAAAAGGCCAAATTCCGGCTGAAGACCTTGAAGGGGTGCGTCTCTCATAATCATAGAGTGGTTTTGGGACGTTAAACCCCACATATCAAGACCTTGAAGGCGACGGCTTGAGCGGTGCACCGGCGTCTCCACGCGTGGCTGTCTCGTAGGGCTGGACTCGGGGCTTCTCACAGGGGTGCTGACCATGAGGTGGTAGTACCCAGCTCCTCCACCAGTGTCGCGGCTTGTAAATTACAGGGGGTTCATTTAAAAAACACGGACAGTGGAACTTATAAAGACGCTCTCAGAGAAGGCCGCTAGGATTGTCGTCTTCTTCACTTGCCTGCGCTGCGCCTCTCGAGCAAAACCGCCTTCTTTGTTGTCGTTGCTATCTCGCCGCTAAATGCAGCTATGCACGCGGCAATATACACTAGAGGGAACTATTGCGCTAGTGTCTATGGGAGCTGCAACGCTTGGCGCTTCAGCGAGCATGGGAATGATGGGTAGTACACACATTTGTCTAAACTTCGTACTTCTGGCCTTATTTTAGCTCTGTGTGTGTTCGTGTGGCTTGGAGCTGTTTTCTCACGAAACAAAAAATCAGCAAATGTTCAGCGATTGTGCTTCATCACCTCGTTACTTTAGACTTACCTTTCCAAATTGGGTCTCGAAGTTCAAAAGGTTTGAATCTTTATTTCAAAACAAAACCGAAACACAATGAACGAAGCCACAAGTACGATTCTCCGCCCGCAAGTACGAAGACTAGACAAATGTGTGTACTATACCCATCATTCCCATGGTCGCTGAACGATCGCAGCGACAGAGTCCCCTCTAGTTAATTTTAGGAAACTCTATGGCTCGAACGTCATAGGTTTCAGTTTCAAACTGTAGTTTAGAGATACGACTGTAGGTTTCTGCGTTGGATAAACGAGGTGTGCTTACTATGATGAGATTAGCTTCAACGCATGTGTGGTAAATGTCCCTGTCACGAGTATATATGCTGAGGCCTGGTTCGCTCGTCGGGCGTTGCGAAATGAACCATAGAGGCTGATGGTACCAAACGAAAACTACCACTTCATTACCATGAATACCACAAAACGAAATAGCCACAAAAACACGCACACGTTGAAAAACACAGAAAAGGAGATGTCTTAATGACGCGCGCTTCAACGTCCGATTCCGTTGGCGTTCTCTAAGTCTCGTGCTTACAGTTGTGGCGTGGCCTCTGGTCCGCTGGGAGTCCCTCTCAGGCGTGATGACACGCCATATCGATGCTCAACGGTGGCTACGATGTTGAAGAACCACTACAGCGGTAGCTCCAGTGGTTTCTCGCCGAGGCAGGTGCTCGGGCGGAATACACTGAAGACCAGGGTCGGCGGTGGTTCCGGGGCTGCTCGCCGAGGTCAGTGCTCGGGCGGGAAACTGCAGCCCAGGATCAGCGGTTGCTCTGTGCGCTGCTCGCCGAGTCAGGTGCTCGGGCGAGAAACTGCCGTCCAGAATCAGCGGTCGCTCCGTGAGCTGCTCACCGAGTCAGGTGATCGGGCGAGAACCAGGGGCAACGGTACTTCCTTGCGCTGCTCGCCGAGTCAGGTGCTCAGGCGGGAGCCTGGAGCGAGACCAAGTCTGAACTTCCGCAGCCCTTCGCCCCTCGAACGCCACGTCCCGGCTCTCACGTTCCTCACTCGCCTCGCGCCCTCTTCTTTTTCCTCCTCTTCTCCCTCCTTCCAGCATGTTAAATTACCTATTCAAGACAACTTCTTTCTCTTCCTCTTTTCTTCATCTTGTCATTCTTGACAGTCCCCTTCGAGTAGCGTTGCATGCAGATCCACTTCGCGTAGAGTAGTATCGCGTAGTTGTGCTTCCCCCACTTTGGAAAGATTGAGGCCGTGCCCCGGGCGAATCACAACTTTGACGTGATCACCTGGCAGACGTGGTTGCATGGGTGTGCGAGGGAGACGCTGGGCAGATCCGTTCAGCATTGGGGTATCGGATGCGCTTCCCTGGCCAGTTGGCGATGCCGGAGCGTTCGATGCATGCTTGCGTTGCTTGTTTCGGTGGCTAGAGATCCATTTGGCTTCGAGGATGGCGGATCTCAGTTCCTTCGACTCCGACCACTTCCATGGTTAACACGGCTGCGCTTTCTGAACGTAGGGCTCAACGTGGGCTAGTCAGATGGAGTTGGGTGGCACCGGCGTCGCGGCGAGTAGCAGCTGTTGTGGCAGCCGCCACGCCAGCGTCGGGCGGCGCGAGCAGTGCGAGTTCGTCGTTACGATTAGCTCCTCTATCACCTGGGTCGGAAAAAGCTCGTTCACCGAAAATCTTCCGTGTACTGCGGTCGGGGGCTGGCTGTATTGGGTGCTGGGGTAGTTCCAGTCGTCGACAAGAGCGATTGAAGATATCCAGAAGTAGGGGCTTAACGCTGCCTCTTCCACACGCAGAAGCGGGTGGGTGTGCTGCTCTGCATCATGTCTAAGGCGTCTCCAAGGGGGTTGCAAGCGTTTCTGAATACGGGGTTTCGTGTAACACCCGACGTCAACAACGACTAACACGCTGCCACACTGTACGCAGCTCACAATAGTGTCCTCGCCTCATCGTCGCATCGTATAAGAAAGCGCATGCTACATACGTCCACTGGACAAGGCGGCGTTGTGAGGAAGAGTAGGCACTTATATCACATGAGCAGGGTGGCCAGCATTTCCAAGTGTGATTCCAGAATTGGCTACAAATATGAACAATGGGTTTTCTAAAAAAAAAAAACTAAATACCTTATGGTTGCATAATTTGACACATAGCACCACGGTACCGACGAGAACACATGTTCAAAGTTTTCAAAGTTTTATTGAACGGCGAATATGAAAAAATAAGTAGAGTTCCCCTATAAAGCGCCAGTCAACAGGCTCCGAAACGCACAGGAAAAGCTCGCGCATTTCTCCTACGCGTGACCAACCTCCTTCCACGCGCAGTGACGTCAACTCGGTGATCGGCGACTTGACACCGCACGCAGCTCGTCGACTGGCCTAAACCAGGCCTCAACAAACGGTAATGAAGTCAGCGTTGCCGATCACCGAGGTGACTTCACTGCACGTAGAAGGAGGTCGGTCAGGCATATAAAGATGCACATACTTGTTTGGAGGGTGCAAAAAAAATGTGACAGAGGCGTTCGGGAGTTTTCTCGTTGCGCACGTGTGGTTCACTCTTGAAGCGCCATATGTTTTTAATGATCGCAGTGGCGCCATCAATAAGTTGGAAGGAATAAATAGCATGCAAGTTTTTTGTACGAGTTTTAAGCTCGTCAGTGGCGATTGGAATGGCCAATTGAACGAAGGCATGGCCAACGTCAGTGGCGAGTGGAATGTGGTTAGGTGACCCTGCGAAGATCGACCTTTTCATTGTATTTCGAATTATATTGGCTGGATAACTTCGCACTGCATGTTCATATATCGCTGCCATTTTTGCTGCACTAATGTTTTCAGCCTTTCGTCTACGCAACCGACGAGTAAATTATGTAAAACAATGACGTCTTAGAAATAGTTGGAGGGCATTCTTAACCATGTGATCAACTTGCAAGCCTTAAAGAAAGTGAAAAGAACCTCCATACTATCGACGAATGCAGGCAAGTACACAAATTTATTGGTTCTCATCTCCTTTACGCAATATAAATGAGATTGTCTAAAACACCTAAAAGATCAATGTATTCGCCAAACTAGCATTTTTCTGCTTTCATATCTGCTCCAAAAAGGTAAAAAGTGATTTCTAAAACTGAGTAATAATTCTACGTGCTCCACTGCTAACCGTAACATGTTAGTTTACCTAGACCCGCTGATTCCCGAAGGAAAGGAAGCTCGCCATAATACCTGCGCATTAAAGCAGCCGCATCGTTCTTTGAAGCAGTAAAAAGCACAAGATGTACTGAGGTTCTCGTTTTTCTCAGCTGGAGAGCCCACTGCAGCTGTGGTCGGTGGTGCAGCAAGTGGCGCTCACTCTGGCTGTAGCCGAAGAGGCACTCGAGTTCGAGCACCGAGCCCTGAGCGAAGACCACGTGCTCGTCAAGAAGGCGCACCACGACGTGCTCTCCTACAGGCTCAACGGACGCGTGCTGCACGTCCACACGTTCGGCGTGCACGCCTTCCTCGTCGACTTCTGCGCGTCTCGCCTGAGACTACGAGGAGGTAAACGCCCAGTCCAGTGCTGGTGCTTGGCAGGGAAAGAAAAAAAAAATGATTATTTTCTCATTACAATACAGGGACATCTCGAACCAGTAAGCAAAAGCTTGCTGGAGATTGGAATGCGACCCGCCGACGCCATCGAAAACCATCCATTCATTTGTCACGCCTAAGATATCTAAACGCGTATAAAACGCCGAAACAAAGTTCAAGCGAGAAAAAGGCGAACACGCCGTGCCAGCCCTGAAAAGCGAACGTTTGCAAAATCTGCTAAACATCACCACTTCAATTGTTCAAGGGGTATGCAATGTCTCATTGCTTTGCACATCTGGTTTTGGCGGTAGTCATAAAATTTCACTTCCCCAGGAGCCGAGAGGGATATCAAGGTATGAGCGGTAAGGAGGGGGTGAGATTCAAATATGCCGGCCCAAGTTCCATATGAAAGAAGACTATTTCCGTATAGGCCGGTTCTCTTGGGGATTTGACGCCAGGCATCCCGCAACAACATGCCAATATTTATTTTCAAAACGACTAAAACTTGGACAACCATTGGATATGATATACCGTTTTGTTAAGCGGTTATGCATAAACACATGGTGACTGCAGGTGATGGCTCACTCGAAAAAAAAAAAAACTTAGAGCATTCATGCCTGTGTGGCTAATGAACATTCTTACTTCTAAAAAATATAAAAATGGTATGCAGACATTCGTGTCCGGGCTGCTATAGGGAGATGTTGGTGGACCAGTTGTTTGAGATCCCTGTTTTAGAGTAATGCTTGTCGTAATGTGAAAAAGGTGTAATTAACAATAAGCTTTGCGCGTTTACAGTAGACAACTTTAAATCGTGACCGGTAACTTGCATTATGAGCAGCAGCAGCCTGACGGCTAGTGCAGGGCAAAGGCCTCTTCCATGTTCCGCCAATCGACCCGGTACTGCACTTTATCTCGCCACGTTATGCCTACAGATTTTGTAATCGTATCTGCTGCACCTTATTTTATGACTCCCCCTCACGTGTATGTCTTGTCTTGGAATCCAGTCAGTTACCCTAAATGACCAGCGGTTATTCTGCCGACGTGCTACATGCCCAGCTCCATGTTCATTTACTATTCTTCATTTCAACTATGATATCCTCAACACCCGTTTGTTTCCGGATCTACTCTGCTCTTCTGTGTCAGTCTCTTAAGGGCAGGAAAAAAATATAAAAGTAAGCCTGCAACAGTTGTCTGTTTCATTTACTAATATTCGCAGCTTACTGCTGCAAGCGTGATCTTATTCGTTTGTTTCTGGAAGATAGTCTGTCGAATGTCCGTCTGCTGACTGAAACATGGCTGACTCGGAATGTTGACGACCATGAAATTCGCCAAGGGAACACAAATTATAATGATTTCCGGTGTGATCGTCAAAGCAAACGTGGGGGAGATGTTCTTATTGCCATGAAAAAATCTTTACTTGCTTTTGTCGTCGATACAAATTAAAAGTTGGAAATTGTCTGGGTGGCGTGCACCAATTCTACCACAAAAATGTTAGCGGGCGTGTGTTACCTGTGCGGCCGACTCGGAACAGTAATTTATAGATCATCTTCGTAGCAGCACCACTTTAGCTACTGAGAGATGCTGCACTATTAATGTCTACCTCTTTGGAGATTTTCAACTTTACACAAATTTACTGGAACGATTACTCATTCACATCCCAAATGTCTTCTGACTTTGTGAATGTCACCCTAGATTTTAATTTTACTCAAGCAATTAACAAACCAACAAAGGGCAATAATACTTTGGATTTATTGCTTACCACAGATCCCGATAATGTAGCGGAAAACTCATGCCTTGAAGGGTTCAGTGACCATAAGCTAGTTCAATTAACAATAGACACTTCTCTCAAAGTCTCGGGTAAAACTAAATAAAGTGATTGAAGGCTACAGTAAAGCCAATTATAGTGGTATGAATGCGGACTTGGAAGAATTCTACAACTACACATTCTTTCCTCATTGTTCAGGCCTTACTGTCTATGAAAACTGGTCATTGTTCAGAGATATTACCTTATTAATAGACAAATACATGCCTGAAGTCTCTGTATATAATAGTAAGAGAAACCCATGGTTTAACAAACATTTGCGGACCTTGAGGAATCAAAAAAAGACGGCTGTATCGGGCAGCAGCACATGCTTCAGGTGCCTCTGCTTGGAAGAAACATAAAGAATGTCCTAAAAGTTACACTTCTGCGTTAATCTCTGCAAAAAAAAAAAACAAGTATTTTAAACACGACCTTCCTTCGTTATTAAAATGCAATCCCAGAAAGTGTTGACAACAATTATCACTAGTTTCTTCTGTTACAGATATTACTTTGAAGGACGAAAATCAGTTACCTCTCCCATGAGATCAGTGTGCAAGTGCATTTATTAGGTTATTATAATCTGTCTTTACGCGGGAAGATCATTCTAGTATTCCAAATTTTCCGGAACTTGATTACCTCTTCATGGCACCTTTACATACTAAAATTGAGGGCAGCACCAAACTAATTAACAAAGTAAAGGTTTTCGCCTGTATTTGTCTTGATAATATCAATTCAAAGATACTAAAAATACAATGATCATGTCCTCTAAAATATTATTTCACATCTTCAGGCAGTCCTTGTCAGCTGGTCAGCTTCCCATGGACTGGAAAATTGCAAAAGTTATTCCTGTATTTACAGCAGGGTGTAAAGATCAAGTTGAAAATTATCGTCTCGTCTCATTAACATGAATCAAGAGTAAATTACTTGGACATTTCATTGCTTCGCACATTTAAAAAAATCTTAAATCAAGCAATTTTTAGCTCCACACAACATGGCTTCAGGAAAGTTTTCGCTTGCGGTACACAACTTTTAGAATTCACGACAGACCTACACACTAATTTTGACATGAACACACAGACAGATTGCGTTTTCTTAGATTTTCCGAAGGCATTTCGACGTGTCGCCCATTGTCGTTCAATTGCCGAATTGGCTGCCCTTAAATTAGGCTGTTTAACGCTATCATGGCTCTGGAATTTTCTTTTATTTCGTGAACAGCTCACATTCGCAAATGGTTTTCATTGAGATCTTGCAGAAGTCAGTTCAGGAGTACCCCAAGGTAGCGTCCTTGGCACTCCGCTCTTCCTAATTTTCATCAATGATCTGCCGACGAACATTTCACCCAGCATACGTCTTTTCGCAGATGACTGCTTCATTTGTTGATCTATAACATCTTCCACTGATCATGTCGCCATTAAAAATGACCTACACCTCGTTAGCAGTTGGTGTACTAAGTGGTTAATGGGTTTGAATACTGCAAAATATAAAATAATGTCCGTTTCTCAAAAGCACTCAATTTCAACTTTTTCATACAACATTAACAACTGCAAAATACCTCGAACCACCTCATACAAATATTGAGGAGTTCTTATTGATTCTAGGCTTCCATTCTCCTCCCACATAACTTACATTTGTTCTAAGGCATCTAAAAATTCAAGTCAAAATCTTCATAACTTCATATTGAGCATTCGCAAACTATCTTAACATTTGTACGTCCACAGTTAGAATGTGCCTCACCAGTTTGGTCCCCTCATCAACTCTAGTTAACACAGATGATCAAAGTCATTCAAAACAGAGCAGCACGCTTCATCACTCAGAACTACCAGCGTAGAAGCAGTGTTCTTCTAATAAAACATCATATCAAATTCCAGTCATTAGAAAGTTCTCGCAAGATAGCCCTGCTTGTGTTGTTTCACAACTATATCCATTCTATGAAAGTGCCTCCTTTCCCTCTGCACACACCGGAACGCAGGACAGCACGTACGCAAAATCAGTGCAGCTGCATGCGTCTTTGCGACAGAACACACGCATTTAACGTATCCGCTTTGCCACAGGCAGTTTCACTGTGGAATGATCTTCCTGATGCGATAATTTCAGTGGCTAACAGCAAGGTGTTCCGAGAGCAACTAAACTCTCACTACACCTCGCATCACTTCATCGCCATTTAATTGAGATGTGCATTTGTTTGATATTTTTTTGTAATCAATGTCTAGGTTATCAGTGCCGTTGTTAAGTTGTATACAATTTGTATAGTTTAAGTGCATACGCTACCATTGTTCTTTTTTTTGTGTGTGTGTATATATGCCACCCTTAACCTATGCTCTAGAAGAGTCTGTTAGGAATGTTAAATAAATATAAGACAGTTACCCTCTGTCTTTTGAAAGACAAGGGGCAACCCACAAATATTTATCTTACTCGGACTCAGACTTACCAAAATATTACTCACTTAGACTGACTCAAACTCAAATTCACGGCTGTCTTTGAGTCTGTGTGAGTCTGAGTGAGTACACTCATCAGTTCGTTGGCGTACTATTAGCTGTTTTGTTCGAGGTGTTCATGCATTTTAACACTCATAGCCCGCATTATCTATGCTCTACCAGGCGATTTTGATCTAGTATCTTCAAATACTAGTTTTGAGTGGTGGAAATCAAGAGCATTTTCATTAAAAATGATGACTCACACGAGATGTTTCCTACAAGGCATTTGTTTGAAAAAACAAATGGAGGCGAAGGGTCGAGCAGCTGCCCCCTGCCACGTAGCTAACGCATGTATTCAATTAATATTGAGTTGGAATATGAATGCTACTGCATTGATGAGTGAGTAGACATAAATAGTACTAATGCGAGTGGCTGATAATAATGCTGAAGTTGAGTAGTTGACATAAAGAGGTCGCCAAGCGTAAGCTCACTCAGTGTTACTCGTGGAATACACCTCGCCAATGTTTTACCAAGAAGGTGGCGTCTAATTCACTTGCATTTGACAAGAGCACTTGCATTTGCATGGTCACGTCAAATGTCTCTACGGGCAACATGATCAACTGGGAAGATGCTTCCGTCATCACCACGAGAAAAAAAAAAAACACCATGGACTCATCTCCGTTCATTGTTTATTCAAACCACTGCGTACACGCTGAACAAAAGCTGTGGTAATCTTCCGCCTGTGAATGCACGTTGCC